ATCACAGATGGCACTTTGCCAGCAAATTTTTTTTTTGTAATCTAAAGAAAATTCGTGGTTGTTGATAGTATCGTAGATCAAAATGTGTGATAGTGGGAGACATCGATTAAAGGCCTTTTCCCATCTCAGGGCTGATAGTCAGGTCTTTGAGAAATTCATCGTTACGTTATTCACTTCAAGGAGATTCCGCTTATATATAACTAGTAGATTTTGCTGTTAGTATAGTGTTCCTGTATTGCCAGCAACATTTGCGCGTAAAAAATGGCTGTCAAGGCATAAAAATGCGCTAGAAGCCATTATTTCGCGCAAATGTTGTCGGCGTTGCAAGCATTGCATTTTTTTCACAGCTGTTGTCGTACTACTGCAGGAGCATACTAGCAGTGAAATCTACTAGCTACACCACATCGTATCCATAATTTTTGGGCATTACCTGAGAAAGCTGAATTTTGCAAGTAAGAACTTCACTAAGTAAGCTGCAATCTTATGATCAGTTTTCTTTGGACTTGCGGAGTTGTTTCTTCAAACATCTCAACGCCAAGGTACCCAAACTATCTCCTCCTCAACCACTAATCCTCCTAATCTCATTCTTGCTGGACTTCTAGTGTGAAACCGGTTTATGGTGCACGATATCCACCTTTACAACACGACATACCTATTGGAAGTCCTACAAAGGATTTGGCTAAAACGAAGACATTTCAGGATTATGAAAACAGGTTTGTCTAGAATGGATAAAATTTTCTTCACGCATATAATGTTTCTTCTGCAGTATTATCATTTTTGCTTTCAGTGTGTCAGATGCTTGGGACACGCGGGTTCTTGTCGATGATGCGCTTGCATCCGCGTCAGCTGCTCGAGTACTAGCTGCCCATGCGGCTGGAAAGACCAGAGAAGAGGTGAGGATAGTAAAAAGCAGGAAAATCCCATATCTTAAGTAAAGTCACTCCATGACTGATTAGGAGTGATCTGAAGTACTTCAGAAGTATGTTCTAATCATTGCAGAAAGACACTTTTGCGAGTTCATCAGAGATTTTGGTTTTCGGCTCACGAACATCTCTACTTCATATGCATCAATAGCTTGCAATCTCCTCAGGCTCGGCCAGATTTCGCTGAAAAGGGCCAAAAGTACCCTACAGCGCCTAAAATTCTCCGATCTCTCCTGTCATTTCCCTCATTTCTTCTCACGCATGCTCCGCGCCAACTTGAAAGCCCCAGCACGCTAGCGCGGAACTGTATGGCACGCGCCATACCTGATCCGCTTGATCCACTTCGCTATTGGTCAGATCGGCAAACTGCCCAATGGCGAAGTGGATTAAGCGCATCAAACGGATCAAGTGAAACATTAGCTTCGCTATTGGTCAGTTCACTGATTTGACCAGTAGCG